GGTAACCCGTCCATATGTGATTTCCAATTGCATCTGTATTAGTAGGCTAACTGGAAGAACAAAAGTATTACCATGGAAAAGAATTCCAACTAGTGTTCCAGTCAGTTTGATACGGTTTATTTAGTTACGGGGAGATTTTCTCAACCTCATTTTTACTTGACCGTGATAGAATTTAGTAATACTACTAATACACATGAATGTTCATCAAAACAAAATTTAAATACGTGGGTGATGATTATATGAATTTTGGACAGATAGCTAGGAACAAATCGTTAAACATGAGTGTATTCGTAAGAGACATGCTCTGGACTCAATGTTCCGATCTGCGGCAGACTATTTATTTATATTTATACTTGCCGGCTGATGGTGCATACAAGTTAGTTGCACGTATGCAGGCAGAATACGATTTAATTGAGATATAGTGGTTATAAGTTATTAAAATCAGTTAAGCCTATGTGTCATATTACGAAGTGATGTGGTGCTGCAAGATATATTTAGCTAAATAAGTTTTTACAAGATGATTAATAGTGAGTGATGCTCATGTGATTATCAGGGAGAACATAAGTTGTAACCAAGGTGAGTACACTCCCAACTCATGTCTATGATAATGGCTTGAACCTTAGTCAGTGTTGGGGTAAATTCGACATTGATGTTTTCAGTTTGCAGGAGATTTGCTCGACTGCTTATACTGATTATTTGCATGCATTATTGTGTCGCTAAACCATCAATAAGACTGACAAGGTTTTGAAATATTTACTTAATGAGCAACTGATAGAGAAACATACTGTAATCATCTGTGATGGATGAAGATACCAAGAAAACAACACCATTTAATGGTAATTATAAGTCAATTTGTTGACCGATTTCGTTAATAGTTTCACTAATTTTATCAGTCATATTACGTGATTGTCAAGTTATGACAATGCTTTATGACGATATCCTGAAACTATTATGTTTAACTAGTTATAGTGTTGAATGAGGATTAGTCAGTGGAAAAATAGGTATTGTTGCTTTGCTTAAGGTGACTCGAAGTTATCAGAAATTTATAACGTTAAAGAATCCGAGACGCCTAATCTAATTATAAATTTCAATTCAGAAATATTCGTCTAGTGTTAATTCTAGTAGGCTACTGAGTTTTGATTTGAAACGTTTGTTTAGCCAACAGCTACCTGAGGATTTAGTTATTTTACTAGTGCAGTTGATAGTACCTAAATTTTTAATCTTATTATCTAAACTATGTTCGCATTTTAGGCTGCTAATATGATAAACCAATCCATAAACCCAAATACGATTAGCAACAACGACTATGATGGGTTTATTGATAAATGTTAAAGGCGACTCAGATGATTCCTAAATTTAGAAGACATGAAGATATAGTGCAACGCGTGTGTGGGTCAGGTTAACATGCAGGTTGTTGACGTATATGACAATTTAAAAATAATGAACATGACCAGATAAATAATTTTAAAGTTAAGACTGCTTGTGAAACTTCAAGCAGGAATACGGCGCGTTATAAACATTCCATAAGAAGTTACTGCATTTAACCTAGGGACACTTACAAATATATGGCAGAAGCAACTGGAAAACATATACATGTTAAGTAAAAAAAATCATTAAGTAAAATAGTTGAACTCGCCTGGATTATTTTTGAAAATTAGATTATTCAGTGGACAACATATATAACGCCATTCGTGAGTAGTATTGATCCAAAAGCATCCAGAATAAAACATGCAGTATGGCAATTAATTCCAGGGTGCTTGATGCTGTTGAGGTTTTCGACACTCGCTCGGATCAGAACAATCGGATGAATCCAGATAATTGTATGGTTGTCATTGAACGAACCATCTAAAAGTGATTGCAGAAAACTTATAGCTGAAACTCACCGTATGGTTTTGGAGTAGTCATCCTCGTCGTTTGGCAATGGAACTCGAGAATATGAAATTAGGCAGGCAGTGGTCGGAAGAAAAGATATTACAGGATAGTGCATCGTTTACAACAGGATGAGGTGTTAAGTGAAGGAACACTGAGAATTAGATCCAGATAACTATTTAGTCCTTGATCGCATTGTTAGTCAATGCATATTTACGCTATTTACAGGTCATATTTGCTAGAGCTTGATGTTTAAACAAGACTATGTCGCTGAAGCATGTAAATGCTATTACAGCTTGTTAACAAACCATCAAAGCTAATTAGTTAATATAGACCACCAGTTTTTATTATCGATTGAGCTAGTTTGTCATGAGGACTAATCAATATAACATTACGATAATGCGTGTGAGCATTAATCAGAGGACTATTAGAATACAGGGTTAACATAAATATAAAATCGATCGAGAAAGTTGAAGTGGAAATAAGGATTAATAATAATAGGTTGCGTTTCTTTAGTTGGGCTCACCAATGTAGAATTATGGTCTACTATGATATTAGTACTGCTCTAATAATAGACCTAATCCTAAATTTGTAGATTTGTCATGATATAACTGCCTAATCTATAAGATCTTACGTGGAAGTCACACCATCGACTACACCAACTCAATGTATCGTATCAATTACCAATACATGATGTAGAACAAGGTTAGGCTAGAGAAGGAACAATATATTTAATATGAATAGAAGATATAAAGTAACATTGAGATGGACCACGCCTGCATGGACGAGCCATGCCATCAGATCAAATCCAGTCCATTCAATTCCTTGTTCGCGCCTTTTCCATCGTTAGGTATTTATCCCCGTTAAGTATTGAATATCTATTTTCTGAGTAGTCTCGTGTTCAGCTTTGTGGATTGTGCGGTTATTGTTCAATGCCACTACAGTTCCACAATGTCTATATGAACGTGATTGAAGCAGCCATCAGGTGTAGCGAACGTGCCAATGGGGGCAGCTACGCGCCTGTGCACTTTTGATCGTTGAAACTGTAGGCATTACTTTACCCTTGTACGGACATCTTTATCCATGGACGGTCAGACCAATTGTGCAGCGACGAGGTGTAATGTGGCTGTGATACCTGGATGAGGCAGTCCATGCAGGGCATCGAAGACGAGACGGCGGCAGGCAGGGGGAACTATGAGTCGGTGGAAGACCAGTAGAAGTATCACATTGAATTGTATCTGTGCGAGTAGACATGGGTACTTCCTGGCACTGAAGGGCTGTGGAATGCTGTGCTTCTGTATGGGAGGGATCGCTTATTTGGGCGGCAGCCATAGCATGAAGATCAAGCACCGTTTAAGTAACCGCATTCACTTGGACACGTGACAGAGCATCAGCAACATATTTCGACTCGCCTTTAACGTGACGAAGGTCTGTCATGAACTGAGAGATATGGTCCAAATGTCTGCAATTTCTTGGTGAGTAGTGGTTAGACTTAGTATGTAGAGTATACGTTAAAGGCTTACGGTCAGTAAATAAGACGAAATCGTGACCTCCTTCTGCGTGTCGGAAATGTTTGATGGCACAGTAGGCTGCTAGCAGTTCGCGACCAAAAGCGCCATATCTTTACTCCATGGGTGTAGGGCGTCGTGAGAAAAGTTGCAGAGGTTGCCAACTACCGGAGATGTTTGATGCATAACGGCTCCTATGCATCAACCGCTATACTAGGCGTGGCTGATGGGTCAGGGTGAGCGAGGAGTTTGACTTCAGTCAGAGCCGTATTGATCACTGAAAATGCAGTAATTGCCACATATTTCAACTCTAATTTGCGTGGATTACCGCGAAGTAAATCGATTAACGGTCGTAACGGTTCAGCCGCGTGTGGGACGAAACGTCGGTAGAAGTTAACCAAACCGAGAAATGCCTTCAGTTCCTTGAGTGTGGACGGCACGTTGTACTCTATTATTGCATGTACTTTGTTCTCACAAGGTAAAATACCCTCTTGCTTAATGATGTGACCCAAGAACATTATTTTTGGTTTGTTTAATTCGCACTTGTCCTGGTTGACTACTATTCCATTATCCGAGAGAGCTAACTTGTCCGGTGCCAGCCGGAGAGCTCTTGCCGTGACTGAGGATCCGCGCGTGACTATATGGTGTACCACACGGTTGGTCACCGATGGAATCTGCTTGGGTGGTCTAGTCATTTGAGGAAAATTCTCGAATAAAGCGTGGAATATATCGTCACGCGAATGAAATATACCAAGATTCAGTGAGCGTCTGTTTGAGCTTACTCTAGTCTCTGAACAGACCGATCCATTGATTCTTCTTGAGTCACGCTTTGACTCGGTTAATTATTCCCATATCAACACTGACTTTTTATATGAACGTGTGTACGTACATATTATTCTACTCATCACATGTTTGTAGCTTATTTTGGTATGATTATAAACATCGATAAACGCTTGTTTAAATCTAGTTAGCTCGCTTTCCTTCTCAATTCTGCTTCGCCGTTTCCTCTTTGTTTCGTCTCCTTGAATGTCTGTTCAAATTAATAATGAGTGCATGAAATATACGTGTTATAAATCAATTCTCGCATTTGGCTTATTTAAATTCCGTCATTCACTAACGCGATTTATGTCGATGACTATATACGAGGATTAGCAATATGTATATTTCAATACCATTCATTCGTTCGGTCGACCTTGGATCTGAGCACGAGTCACAAAATGCTAGATCTCTTCATTCTGTCATACCGCAGATTAAGAGGTGATCTGATTTTGATGTACAGAATACTAAGCAATGATTTTACACCTAATATATCTTCCTTTCTCTATCCACCAGATCGGGAAATAACAGAGCACATAGCAGGTGAGTAGAAAAACCATCAACGAACAAAATACTCATGGCATACAGATTTACACACCAAGTGATCAGGTTTTGGAACCGCTTACCCGAAGAAGTGGACTCCGTACTTTCAATTGACTCATTCACGAAAAGACTAGACTTTCACAGTATTATATCATCAAATGAATAACACAGTCTGTAGGCCTTCTGTCTTTAATACTCAAATCTGAAATCTGAAGGTTGCATTCTAATTAGCTAATCTGAAGGCCACCCGTCGTTTGCCGAAGGTTGTCGGTATGGCATAGTTTTGTCGCCGTTTCGGTTTTCAACGTTAGGATTAGTTTGCAATATCGTTATTTGCTTTGCATATTTTCAGATCTTTAATAAGTTCTTTCACGGATCCGAAACACTAAAATGATTTATCTATGGGGAAATGACAAGTCTGGTGTGTTTTAGAATCATGTACAACGCCCCATGGGGCGTTGCTTGCAAGCAATCAAAAAGAGATGATGGGAACATCCCGTTAGAAAATTAGGGGTGAACAATGTGAAAATGCGCCAAAATGTCTCCTTTTTAATTCCCCTCACCTTTTTCGCGTCGTCAGATTTGTTTTTAAGTTATGGCTTGATGGTGATTTCCAGTGCCCAGTCATCTCTTATATCTACTGAATTACCTAGTCTGAATATTTAACGAGAACTATGTAACTAATTTATGACCTCTAGTTCGGCTAATATTTTAAAGCACCTACAAATTTCGAATGGGATATTTAGTGAAAAGCAGGTTTCCTATTTTATTCGATTAAAAGTGTGACAAAATGATGGTTTGTGATTTCCTGTCGTTGTTGTTAACCAGTCAATGTCAGTTGACATATGTACGTTGTGTATGTAAGGCTACGACACTGTCATTTGATCATAAGCTTTGGTAAAAGAATATCTAATTTCCTGGCAAATTTGAGATTCATTACACATATACGGTATTGTCATGTTTTAAAAATGAGTTGGTTGTGAAGAATTTCTTCACTGAATCACGTCTTTCTTGTGACCTAACCTGGGTGTTTAAATTAATATTGAGTCTACCGTAAAACGTCACATATCTGCATAACATCAGTCCAAATTGTCTGCAGTCATTTATCAACGACCGATTATAGTGATGATTTGTAGAATGAGAAGTGATTTTGTCTCGATATTTGATATAGAATGGTAATCATAACATATGCCTGCATGATAGATGAAATTCTCATGCTATATTTGGTACTCAAATGATAAAGAACATAACAGTTCTCCATGTACATGTGTTCTTCCTTTGAGGAATAATGTAGTGATGAATATTAGAAAGTAATTCACTGAATGAAAATTCCTAACACTTTTCCTTTAACCAAATTGTTAGTTGTATCTGTAATTTATAGACTTTAAGTAGTCACCATTTTTCACTATCTTGTAAAAAATTATCAAAAGATTTTCACAAGCCTTATCAATCTGAACATAATATAATATACACCCTCATAGTCTTAATTTCTAACTTTCTTTCTAGAATATGGTTGAGAAGACTGAGGATTTGAAGAGCTCACTAACAAATTTGGTTAACGGCTTAGGGTACATTTTGTCTGATCGTTTACGAAATGTAGATGGCGATTTCGATTTTGAGTTGTCTCTCACTGCTTCCTCTGATCTGGACACACGATTCATGCTGATGCTTGACAGGTATATAATGCCTGGGTCTAACACAGACGATTCCATACCTGTTAAGAATGCCTGGGTGAAGTTTGCCGCAATGGCCTCTGCATACGTCTACAAAAATGTTGGTGAATCGGTTTCCAAACCCCTTCGAAAATGGCTGGCGAATGCTGCCAGTGCTGCGATTCTCGCTGGACTACTTGCAGAAGTGCCCGAATCGTCGGATTCAAATGAACGGACTACTTCTGATGGAGAGACATCTGTCGAAAATATCTCCGCACCTGATAGAGTAGTGGAGAATCGTCAAGATGGTGCCTGGTACTATGGCCGTTGGACCGTTGACAATGTTGCTAGCAGTTGTGAACTGATGGATGTGATCGATGTTGAAATGACAGATGCATGTATTCGAGTGATGATTGCTGCTGTTGTTAATTATTTCCAGGAGAACAGATTCGCTCCGTGTGGTTTGTTGAGAGACAGTTATGCAAGTGCAATACTGAGAAGTGATCTAATGGATAGGTATGGGTTGACAGACGAACGTGACAAAATTGAAGCGATGCGTATTACTGGTAGTTGGGTCTCGAAACTGTATGTGTTTCACATGGCGACGAAGCATCGTGATTTGGAACATCCAATCAGACCTATAAATAATGTTGGTTTGGTGCGTCCTCTGAAACTAGATATCAGTCAGTGTTTCGAGGACTTGACAGCTAGATTTATCCGTACACGAATCGCACATCAGATTGCCAGTCGAATGGTGCGATCTGTGTGCATAGTGTTTTTCGAAGATTTGAATGAATTGATTGAGTTGCGGAAGCTGTACCGTCAAATATCCGGTGATCCATTTTATTATCACTCTGACTGTGAATATTTGACGAAATCATCTCGACCGTCAGTCAGTGACAAGATGAGTTGTATATTTGGTCGATTGGTCACCTATTTGAGTGTTTTTGAGCCGAATAGTGAACTGTTTGATTATCCGCAGTTGAAGATGAGTGGCAGAACTCGAGAACAACACTATGTTGATTACAGTAAGAATTGGAAGAAGATACTGGAGACGATTTATACAGAGTTGTATATGCCAAGTGGAAGTCATTTATTGGATGTACTTAGAAGTAGATGCAAGATTGCAGAAAATATCCCACAAAATGAAGAACTTTTGAGAGAATGTTGGAATGAATATGGTGTCGGTTGGAATATTTCGGAGTTTATTTTCCGATATTCACTTAATCGTTAAATATTTTGTCTGTTCATTGACAACTCAAGATTAAAATTTTGTTATTGACAAATTGCAATATTATTCTTCTTATTCATAAAATTTGCTTTTTCATCAGTGATGTTGCTTTATGTGTTCACTGTGGTTTTGTTAACATATAGGTAATTGTTACAAGCACTTTAAGTGAATATAAGTGAACTAAAATTCAGATGATTTTAGTATTATCGATCAGAGTTTCTGAAAACCGAATTATTAGTAAACTTATTGTTACTTTACATCTGTCATTACATTGTATTGTTTGCGTTGATTTATCCATACTGTTATGTAAGTGTAATTGTGCACAAAGTAAATATTCGATAACTTTTCATGTATTAGTATTTCGTAAGATTCTCATAAATATTACACCACATTCAAGTTGCTTAAATCAATTGACTGAGTCACTGGCACAGTGTATGGCATAACAAACCAAATCAATCATGAGGTTTAAACAAATAATTAGTCACTAATGTGATGTGGTTAGTGGAATGATAAAAGCAAGACTAATCTAAGTTCAGTAGGGTATATATTTTCAGTATCCTTTTTTATTAATTTGATTCTTACCGAAGCTGATGTGTAAATCTAACTAACTTGATGTACTTACAACCTATTACTCAGTAATAGGTGTGTTTGCGCGAATGCGTAACCATCTTAGCTGCCATTTGCATCTATTGGCATCACGAGGGAGACAACTAAACATATTCCTCACAATGGGAATAATAATCCACTGTGTGGATTTACGAAGTTGATTATCTGATAACTTACGCCCGTCACCTGTCATGGAGCGTAGACCGAAGACCAGGATTCTCCAACCGACTCATCTGGGCACTATTTTCCAGTTGTTTTGAAATGCTGTTCATCTTTTTGATGACTTCCCCCAATTCCCTGTGTTATGTGATCTTTAGTCTCTCTTTTTCTTGCTCTTTGGGGACTTCTAGTTAAAACTTGTCTTGGGACTCAATCTCATCATTTCTGCGGTATGTATCATATGCATCTCGTGTTATTTCTTAGTTCCCTTTCTATTTGAAAGTTGGCTTGTTCTCTGCCAGACTAGATTATTGCTGATGATGTCTAGTCGAAAAATGCGTAATAACTTGAGGAGACATAAATGTTTAGCTCATTGTATTCAGTATTGACGAGTAATATAAAGTGGTGATTCAACACAGCTGAATGTTTTCTCAAAAGTCTCGGGACCTTTAGATGATCCAAAGATATTGGGGTGGTCTATTTCATCTATCGAATCTCAGAGTGATGATAAATTTTCAGATTACTAAAGGATTTCTAACTTGATTCATTTTTTACTGAGTATGTTTCAAAATTACGTACACCTGATGACTGGAAATTGTTTCACACAATTAATTCCTATCAATGTTTGTAGAATAACAACAACGAATATCGTGAGATGAAGTGAAGAATAGAGTTCGATATATAGATAATTCCCGTTGATAATGAAATTATTTACATTCCTAGTGATGCATAAATGGACCTGAAACTTATCTTCTTGGAACAGTATAGCACTAGCAAACACAAGTACATTATAGTCGCTTTTAAGTCTGAAACATTATCTAGTGCACTGTGTCAATGACACCATTGTTTTTTCATAATTTCCTCTTCAAATGGAAATCGAGTTTGTTCGCTCCCACAATAGGCTATTGCTGATGGTATCCGGTGAACGGATCAGGAACATGTTGTGTAGACAGATGTCTATAAATACCCGTATCTTTCTGATGATGGATGTGGTAGTTGTGTGATTTCAGCTGCATACAATACTTGATTATTGGCTGAAAGTTATTTTGATTTGTAAGTGTTGTTCACTTGTAGGAATGCTGTGTTTGCTGTTCAGATCCATGCATTCACGTCTGCATCAGATCCCTCTTGTTCATCGTTGATGCTGTCCAGGTACGTGAAAGTTACATCTGTTGCAGAGCAGCTCCATTACGTGTGATTGGGTTGACGCTTACTGTATCATATTTGAGGATACTGCTTTTGCGCTTGTGTCTGTTGTGGTTTACTGATGTAGAAGCTGCTGCTACACTGTCTATCTACAGCTGCATTTGTTACTGTGTCCATATAATCTATCTGAGTCTAAGCTGTCTTGTATTCTGTGCTTCCCTTGAGATATTGAGGTCTTCATAATCCAGCCAACCACCAGAAGAAAGAGAAAGGGTGATAGTAAGCGACCTTGTCTAACACCACTCCTTACTTGTTTTGCACATATTAGTTGCCCTCTATGCTTGACGTCACAGCGTAATGTGTGGTAAGAATCTTGTATGATATTGACGATCTTTTCAGGGACACTATAATGTCAAAGATGGTTTCACAAGATTCTTCTATGCACCCTATCGAACGCTTTCTCATATTTAAGGAAGTTGATACGTAGTGACGAATCCCATCCATTCTACCAAACACTTTCTGATAGTCAAGGTATTTGAATTATAGTGATGAGTTCCTTTCAAATGATTATTCAATAATGGTCTGTAGTGTCGCGATTTTTCGATGATTGATCTAAAAGTTGGGGAATCTGCCTAATCTTTAATTCAGCTGCCGCTGGCGTGGTTGTGTACAAGTCTGCCGCTTCTTCTGGAGTACCTATCTGGAATATGATCATGCCTTGGTCTGCGCCAATCTTACCTTACTTTTCAGTGGCCAACGAAGTGACCGCCACCAACGGATTGATGTTAGCAAGCTGGTTGCCACTTCTGCTTCTAGTAAGTATCGAACAGAGCTAGTTTCTAGACTAGCTACCATTCCACCGAAAAGTATAGATGAGCATTGGTTGCAATTGCATGACGCCATGAAAATGGCGAGTAAAATCAGTTGTGGGTTCCCGAAACGTCCCGCACCGGGTTTCTCTAGGCTCCTTACAACTCATTGAAGCCCATCGGTCTTCTCCGGGTGACCGTGAGTTTGACCACAAACGAAGGTTGTTACATGGTGAAATCGGTCAAAGCTTGCGTAAGGACCGAGAAGCCTGGTGGTCGGAGCGTGCTAATGAGCCGGAAGCAGCAGCTGCATCTGGTAACTACCGGAAGCTCTTCCGATTCATCCGAGCCACTGGCAGCAAGAAGTGTGGTGTGAGCGAGACAATCTGAGAGGATGATGGGATGCCAATCACTAACATCCATCGACGTCTTGGACAATGGGCAGAATTTTTCGAAGGGCAGTTCAACTGGCCTGCTGCTCCGGCAACATCGGTCAGACTGTCCTGCCCCCATGGCCGGTGACGACTGATTCACCAAATGAGGCGGAAGTCCGCAAGGAACTCCAACTCTTGAAGCGCTACAAATCACCTAGCCCAGATGACTTACCTCCGGCTCTTTTTAAAGATGGTGGTGACTTTCTGACTAAGGAACTGACGACGTTGTTTACAAAGGTGTGGGAACTAGAGAGTGTACCAACGTCATGGAATGAGTCGATAGTTGTCACTATCTTTAAAAAGGGTTCACGTCGCGAGGAGCAGGCTGAGTTTCGTTCTGGTCGAGGATGTATTGATCATATCTTCACCCTCCGCCAAATGTTAGAACACCGCCATACTTATCAAAGGCCAACAATCTTAGTGTCTCTTGACATCAGGGCTGCATTCGATTCGTTGGACAGGACTGTTCTCTGGGATTGTCTATTGGAGAAGGGTGTGTCTGGGAAGTTTATTAGCATCATAAAGACCCTATATACAAACACCTCAGGCAGATTGAGGGCATACAACCACCTCTCTCCATTGTTCCATCCAAGCAGTGGGGTTAGACAGGGTTGCCCAACCTCACCATTCCTCTTCAACTTTGTCATCGATGACATTCTGAAAACAGCTCTGATGAATGTAAGTAATGGTGGTGTGGATCTGTTGCCTGGAGAAAGACTTCTCGACCTTGAGTACGCGGACGATATTGTCTTACAGCGTGATAATGCCCAAGCCATGCAATCCGCACTTAATCAGTGGTCAATCAATGTCCGTAGGTATGGTATGAGCTTTGCACCTTTGAAGTACAAAGTACTTCTACAAGGATGGCAAGATTCTAATCCTGTAATCACCTTGGATGGTGAGCAGATAGAAGTAGTCGAGAAGTTCGTGCATCTGGGTAGCTGTATGAGTGCTGGTGGTGGTGTGACTGATGAGATCAATGCACGTATAATGAAAGCCACAGCGGCTTATGCCAACCTGGGCCACCTTTGGCGGCTTCGTGATGTTAGTCTGGCTGTAAAAGGTCGGATCTACAACGCGTCGGTGAGAGCAGTTCTGCTCTATGCTTGTGAAACCTGGCCTCTCCGAGTTGAGGACGTTAGACGACTCTCTGTGTTCGATCATCGCTGTCTCCGAAGGGTTGCTGACATTCAGTGGCAACACCATGTCAGTAATGCAGAGGTTCGGCATCGTGTGTTCGGGCACAGAGATGATAATTCAATCGGTGTCACCATCTTGAAACACCGACTTCGGTGGCTTGGACATGTTCTACGAATGTCGTCCCAGAGAATTCCACGTCGTGCATTATTTGCCGACTCAGGCTGGTTGGAGAAAGCGGAGAGGTGGTCAGTATATAACATGGTGTCGTGGTATGAAAGAAAGCTGCAAAAGACTGGCTTGTGTCGGTCCTTCACGACTCCCTGGTCGGGATCCGAGAGATGGTGCTACACAGTGGCTAGAGGCGTTATCAGATATGGCTCAGAATAGAAGCCAGTGGCGATCCTGCTGTAACCTATTACTTTCTTCATAAAAAGTGGTTGCTTCTTCCTTAACTGAAAGTTTTCTTCTGGTTGTACCTTTCCGTTCCCTCATTATTACTACCATTATTATTATTACACTATCTTACACCAATCTGTTTGTTACTATCCTCTTTTTTTTACGCTATTTACCTTTTCTTCCTTGTTTTTAAATTCTCATTGTTTTGCTTGGCGCATATATATTTGACGCACTCTTGTACCAATATCTATGTGTTCAAATAAATAATGAATAAATAGTCTCTCAGTACTTGTTTTTCCTCCGAAATTTGGAGCATCTTAGCAGTTACTTCTATGTCTGGTTCCAGTAATTCAGATGGTATGCTATTTGGTCCTGGTGCTTTCCCACTCTTGATTTGTCTGATGGTCATATTAATTTCTCCCATTATTGGTGAGCTAATATTCATTGTGATTTCTGTTTACGCTGCTTTAATATCTATTAGGTCCAGTAAGATTGCTCTATTTAGGCCTTATCCAATTTTTTATGCTCACAGGTTCCACTACTCTGAAATCTCTAATTGGTTTCCCCCCTCATTTTTCACTGGTCACTTTATGCTACAATAGTTCTCCGCAAGTTTCTTGGTTGTATCATATAGTTGCCTCGTATTTCCTTCTGTTTTAGCTTTTTCTTCCGTCATTTCTAGGTATTCCACATATTGCCGCTT